GGGAAGGAAACAGAAGAGAAGGGTCATTTTGGTAGGCGCTGATACAGACTCCTTAGGGGGCAACCTCAGTTTCTGGTAACAAGGTTTGTTCTCCTCTTCCTGGTACCTGAAAGAGGAGGGGACATCGTCATGGAGGAAAATGTATAGCCTACGTTTAGAAGGGAAGGGAGACAGCAAACTATCTTTCCAAATGTGCCGATTTTCAATACTCGTTATGCCATCGTGGCACATTTTGGAGAGAGTTAACCTGATCCCAGGGAGATGCACACAACCCAATTGCCCACCCCCGAGGAATGACAGGCTCGAGGACGACGCCTCAACTACCCACTACCCAGGATCAAGCACAGCTGAGTCCAGCCTCCACCAGCGGAGTCATAGCCAACCCTCAGGCGTGCAAGTGGGAAATAATTGCTTGGTACTTGTATGAGTTCAACAATAATTCATTCATGTACAAATTGGAAAATGTGGTATTAAAATGTGGTATTTTAAATGCCACATTTACTTGCAGTGCTATTGTGAACTGCAAAACCAACGTGTTAGCTCTCCTAGCGTCTGAGAATGCAACTGAGGTCCTATTGATACCCGACTCTCAGTGATTCCTCTACTCAAGAAAACTCCCCTCCTGGAAGGAAGACCATGAAGAAGTCCTTGTGCTTTTCGATGTTGGGTTGTACCCCTTCACCCCACTACTAGTTCTTGATTCCCATAGCTCTTCCAAGGTACTGCACTAAACTCAGGTTCCATAACCTACAACACCCCTACAAATCTACAATCCCCTTTCCCCAACCAATAAAAACTAAGCCAAATATGAATGTTGCGATGGTTGAGATTTATATTTGTATCCTGAATATATCTATGGCTGGATCTACTCTTGGGCTCTCTATTATTTTCCTCAGAACCATTTGTCTATCTCTTCATTATCTCTCCACAACATTTGGTCAGTTTATTCTTTTTTGCAAACTTTCTTTAGTCTTGCATAAACTTACAATCTGCCCTATGAATTTTAAAATAAGTTTGTTAGCTCCTTACAAATTCACCAAATCAGGGGACTTTGAATTGAATACTACTGGCTTTATGGATGAATTTTGAGGAGATAAATATTTGTATTTGTTCATATTTGTTCATCGATCCACAAACATGGTCTATTATCTTCCTTATGTAACTTTCACTGTATAATTAGCAGGTGTGCTCAACAACATAAGACAGAAGGGCAGATTAGCAAACAGGGAATGGGTGGGCTCCATGGTAGGTGTGGGAAGGGCAAAGATCTGTTGAATTCACTGTTAGGTTTATTATTAGACATTTAATACTTGCATTGCTATTATAAGTGTTGAATTTCAACATTTAATTAAATCATGGTAGTAAAGGTAAGTGTAGGGTAAATGGAGTTGATCAGGCTTTTACGCCGCTGTCCTCTGTGGCTATCAGCTGTGGCCTAGATCACGTGAATGTAGGAGGCGCGTGGGTGTGGGCACGTGTTCCTGAGACTGTGGGCACCTGAGCCTGGGTGTGTGCGCATGTGCAAGGGGGCACACCTGAGGCCAGAAGGGAGGGGTGCTGGGGAGGGCCTACAGGCAGCCCTCTGGGGAAGGGGGCTCAGGTTGCAGTCTCCCTGCGGCTTGTTTCCTCTGCTCACCACTAAAACCATGAAGAGGACACCAAGGACGCCAAAGTTCTCTTTCAAACCGTCAGAATGGACAGTGACCCGAGTCAGCTTGGGACGGTTGCAAACAGTAAGTCTTTTACAATTTTTTATCTTTCTTTTTTTTTTTTTTGGTTCTTGCTGTTGAGCAAGGATGGAAGGACTCACAAGGACAAACACTAGAGGTGGGGCTAGGTGTGATTAGTAAGTCTTAATCGAAGTTGCTATGGACATTTCCAGGAGTCTAAATTGGGGTCAGGAAAGATTATCAGCCAGAGCTGGGGGGAGAGAAGATTACTGATCTTAGAAGACCAGCCCAATCTGACTTCAAAGGGATAATTTCAAAAATAATTCCACCCAGGACGTGATAAAAGAACACCCTCTGGCAAAATACAGTTCCTTGTCTTTTAAGACAGCCCACCTGTTATCTATGCAGGTGTCTTTCCCCCCTCCCCTTTTCTAGATAAACTTTTTGTGTGCTGCTGAATGGGAATGTCTGAATTCTTTCAGTAGGGCCCAAGAGCCTCACACTGTACCCCAACATCTGAACTCCAACAAGCCCACCTGCTCGTTGTTGAACTTGCCCTTCCGTTCCTACCGTTGAGCCCACCCATTCCTTGTTTGCTAATCTGCCTTTCCCATTTTATGTTGTTGAGCACACCTGCTACTCATATATTTTTTTAAAGTTACCTGCTGATGTAAGATAACACTGGAAGCTATAGCAACTTTGTTGGGTACTTTATTAGAATTCCGAAGGACTCTCAACTTGCTATGTCCCTTTACCAAAGAACGGAAAGGAAACTGCTATTTCCCCAGTTCCCAATAGTTTGACAGTAATGAAGCAGTAGGTGAATCTGGGAATTTGCTGAAATGAAGTCACATGCCTTGGTTGGTTAGGTGTGAAGCCAAAGAGAGTGGTGGGGACTTGGGTGAGTTGGAGTGCGCAGGCTTTATGTGAGAGGGACAGGCCTATTCAATGTCAGCTTATTCTTGTCATGACAGGTCAATTTTATGCCCATCTTTAATACTCTGTAGAAGAAACCCCATGTCCTTGATTTTAAGATGTTAGCTCCTAACTAAAAAATTTAAAAGTAGTGGCATGCAGTATTTTAGTTCCTTGCTAATGTAAGAAAACACTGTAGATTTTTTTTAAAGATGTACTTTATCTAGCTCATACCTGTGGGCTAGATTTTCCTCTACTGGTCGTCACCCTCTGGTCTAAGAATATGCCAATGAGACAATAGGAAGTAACTGAATATTTCCCCGAGGCCCCATTCTCCAGTTCTGTTTCCCTTGCCCAACCCCAAGTTGCCTTCACTGGACAGGGGCCTATTCCCGCCAACCTGGACACCAGCATGTGAGAACTGAGTTTAAAACTCGAGGTGAGGAGAGGCAGGCCGAGCCTTGAGAAGCTATGGCCTGGACTCAGACCACGCATCCTGAGGTCTCCCAGGAGAACTGGAGTCCAAGCTGAGACACTTGACTTCTCAGCATCACCTGAGGTGGTTGGGTCTGGAAACACTCCAGATTCTTCCAGCATCCTCTGGAAATGGAGATGAACACTGTTCGGGGAACTGTTGCCTCCCCTGGTGTCTTAGATTGGTGTTATGGGTAAATTGTGCCTCCTAAAATTCCTGTGTTGCAATCCCAATGCCCAGTCCCTCAGAATGAGATTGTACTTGGAGAGTCTTTAAAAAGGTAACTATGAGGCCAACTATGGGTCAGGGTAGACTCTGACCCAGTGGAGATCAGTGTCCTACTAGGACATATGTGCAGAGGACGTCTGTGGAGACAGCAGAGTCAGGCTGCTACGGGCCGTGGAAAGAGGACTTAAGGAAGCCAGCTTTGCTCACACCTAGATTTGGGCTTCCAGGCTCAGGAGTTGTGAGAAACTGTTATCCTCTCAGTGCGTAGTACTTTTTTTTTGTTAAAGATTTATTTATTCATACAGAACTGGGGTACAGGCCAGAGATGCAGGGGCAGTGAGAGGCTTCACCAGAGTGGGGAGCAGAACAGGCAGATTGATGAAATACACTGCTGAGGGGAGCAGCAGGTGGGTCAGGAGAGGTCTGCCGCGCCGTGTGGGTCACCTCTGGAGCTGGGGATCGAACTCGCACCGAAGCGACTGTGGCTGGCTTGCAGTGCTGCGTCCTAACCCGTTAAACCGCCAGGAAGGGCCCGTGTGGTACTTTGTTATGGTTGTTCTCACAGGCTAATGAAGTTGTGTGTATCAGAGACAGACCCCGAGGGTTAGAGCTGAGTGTGAAGCTTTACAGGAGCATGTTAGGAAATCCTACCTGAGAACAGACCTGGGCAGCGGGCGCAAGTGCACTACCATGAAGGGCTACCACGGTGGCGCTGGGGAGCCGGTGGCCGTCCGAGTTGAGTTGTCTCAGTGGCGGCCAGGGACTCATGCTTTCTTACGTTGGCCATTCTCAAAGTGAAGGGTCATTCTCAGGGCTATTGCCTTCCCTCCCCCAGAACATTTGGCAATTTCTGGAGACACTTTTGGCTGTCATGGCTGGGGAGAGGCAGGGGCAGGAAGTGCTTGGTGTCTGGTGGGCAAAGACCAGCAAAGCTGCTGCTACCTTTCCTCCAGCGCACAAGACAGCCTCCCGCATGGAGAACCATCTGACCTCAGTTGTGCATTGGGAGACACCCTGCCCCACTCCCATAGCCACACCCCACGACCTGCTCTTGCAGGATGTAGCTGGGCAGATTCCTGCAGCTGATGGCAATTCTCCCTGCAGGGGTCGCTGTGAGGCACCAGCTGCCAACTCCTCCTCTGGGCTCCTCAGAATCCTCCTAATGGAAACAACGGCCATGTTCAGGGCCGGGCGCTGGAGGGTCTGCATATTGTCTCATTTAAGCCTCAAGAGAAACTTTGAGGTGGATTTTATGGGCCTGATTCTACAAACCAGTGATCTGAAACTCAGAGAGGGTCAGTCACTCCCCCAAGGTCATAGAGTTTGTAAATCACAGAGCAGAATATGAACCCCAAACTGCAAGATGCTGAAGTCTGGCTCTTCCACGAGGAGACAGGACCTCCTCTGTTGACGTAAGAACAGCACAAAGAGGACAGCTGGGAGGAGAAAGTGGCCCTCAGGCTCACCCCAGCATTCACCTCATGCCCAGCCTCTGAGCCGTCGAAGCCCCGAAACCATGTCTGAGGCTGTGCAAACATGATCCTGACCCAGAGGCCGGACTCCGAGGCACCTCCACAGCACGGATGCGTCACTGCGAGTCAGCCCTCACGAAAGAGGACGTGTCTACCACGTGGGCGAAAGCATGGACCTCAGGACTTTGTATGATGAGGGCGATACGTATAAAAAAAGGGGAAAAAGCCACTTCGCAGTAGTCAATGGTATAAAAATAATTTTTATTTACTACTGTAAATAAAGTAGTGCAAAGAGTAGTTTAGACCCACAATATTGCATGACTGATTTATTTACTATCTTAGCAGCATACACTATGCAGATGCTCGCTCGCTCTCTCTCTCACACATACCCACACACCCTACACAGACTCAGGCAGGCGAAAGGGGGAGGCGACACTATGAGCTAAAGGCTTGTTCCTGCATACTCTACTACTGCCAGTCTACTCTAGTGGGTAGTTCATGGAGGAGGCTACACTTAAATACTAAGAATTTTCTAAATGTTATTTTATGGATTGCAGTGGAAAAGTAAATGATATTCAACAATGCCAGTAAATGATTCGGAAGCACAACAACCCTAGGAAAATTCAACGAGAAAAATGTAAACCCATTTACAAAGCCGTCCCCTCCTGCTTTTCCAGCCACAACCTATTTATTTCAAGGTGCCCGTCATTGCTGGGGCCTGGAAGTCACGCTGAAATCCTTCCACAGGACCTCGAGCAACAGTGCTGTGGCCGACACGTCCTGAAATGTCACCTAACTGGTCAAGAAGTCACGATCGTCTTTAATAAAAGGAATGAAGAAGGGTGAACGTGCTTGAAACTCAACTCTGCGTATGAGGGTCCGGAGGAGCCAAGCCTGATCCACACAGCCCCCAGCTACGGCCTGGGCAGCAACCCGGGGAACCCCCGGTAGGCACAACCCTCTGACTGGGGGCGCCTTCTACTCTGCCCCCCTCTGCTCCCTGTACTTCCTCGTGATTGGATTCAAAACAAAACAAAACAATAGACACCAATTGCAAATTCGCATCCAGTGACCAGACATTTAAAGTGTTTATCAGCGTAATGCCCAGCGTTCGATACCAGCAGTGACAGGCTGCTCTGTGGTGTGGAAAGGCCCAAGGCCCTGTTCACCCCCGTGGCTCCGGGCTGTTGGGGACCCCAGGCTGGTCCTGTGCCGAGGCGTCTGCAGGCACCGCTGGACGTGCTGTGGCAGTGCTGGGCTCCGTAGAGGCGGGGGCTGGCGCGGGAGGGGGGCCGCTGGCTGCAGAGACACAGGCAAAGTGGGGGTCCAACTCAGCATGTACCCCACAAATCACCAACCCGAGACCCCACAAGCGGGGAGCTGCATGCAGCCCATGCATCCAGCTGGAGGCCCCAACACTAGCCAGATAGGCGACTCGGGGCCTGTTACATAGGTTCTTTGGACTTCACGTCCCCACCTAGAAGCTACAGTGGGGAAACCGGCACACAGATCCGGGACTTCTAGGGAAGTTTATAATTTAAACCCACCCCCCTCAACCCCCCCGCTACCCCCTGGTCTGTATTTCCCGTTCTCACCTTTTCTTCCACCCTGTGCTTCAAGGCAATGCGAGCTCTGAATTACACCAATCAATTAGAACAGACTGTTGGGTCTGTCCACACCTTATTCCATTTGGATGATGTCCCAAATTTGATTTATTTCCTGTATAATTACCTGAGTTATGTTGATAAAGGTGCTTGCATTTTGGAAAACTTAATGACTAGGTTTAATTATTTATCGATCTACCTTTCATGGAGGTTGGAGCCCATAAATGCTAGGGAGGATTGTAAAGCTTCATACTTCCCGTCAGTGGTCTTTAAGTGCTACCTGGAAGGTGCTCTTGGTTGCCACAGTTGGAGGCCACGTGCTACCTGCACATAGGAGTGCAGTCTCGGTGTCTGCTGAGCGCCCTCCAGCGCACCGAACAACCACAGGAGTGGCCCAGCTCCACATGTCATGTGCTGAGGTTGGGGTGCTCTGTTCTGGGGTGGGCAGCTGAGAGGTGTCCGGGCTAATAGCAGTGCAGCTTCTTGGAAACTGTCTTTATCAGGTATGTGAGCTTGGATAAACCACCTGTCCTCCTGCCAGCTCTAAAAACTGGGGACCGTCAAAGTGTCTGTGTCTTGTTCCAAGATGAAAATAATGCATAGACGATGCTTAACAACAGTGTCTGGCAGGCACAGGTCTCAGCAAAGGTTCGCTCTCGTAGTACGAGTGACCTGGTTTGCTGTGGAGACGTGCTTGTTGTTATTAACTGATTGTTGATTTCAGGTGCAGGCTTGCAGGGCTGAGCAAAGTTGGTGCATTTGTTTCCAGGATGTCTACAGTTTTCTGAGGTCCTAGTAGCCCCTGTTTCTATGGAAACAGTAGGACCTTTGAAGCCAGCAAGGCCAGTAATCACATGACTGACATTTATCAGCTCAGCGATCCTGGGCAAGTAACTGAACCTTTCTGAGCTGTAGTTTCTTCACTGGCAAATGGCGGTAGCCGTGTGCAGGGCTGTGTGACTTCGGGCCAATTCAGTGGCCTTAGTTTGTGCAAGGAACCACTGCTATGTCTTTAAGTAGGATCTTAATTAAGCTCAACCGTCCACGAGTCTTACACCATCTTCATTAGGTGGGAACTTTTTTAAAGGCTCCCAAATGTCCATCCTGAAAAATGTCACCACATGCTGACCACCTGAATTCTAGCGCAACTCTTCAAGAGTTTCACCTCCAAGCACCCATGGTCATCTCCCAGAGGCCATGCTAAGAAATGCCTCTGGTTTTGCTGGACATGTAAAGGAATTAGCACCCCCTGCCTGTCTCCCAAAGACCCTGTGGATCCAGAGACTGAAAGAACTGGACAGTGACAGTGGGTGGGGGCATAGGGAGCTGCATGATGTCGTGATGGCACTCGGTTAAAGCCAGCACCCTGGCGGGGGTCTAACGTGGCAGAAGCGTGAGGTCCAGGAACGTGATTAGAAAAAGCTAGAGCCAGGAGGCCTGCCTGAGCACCTCACCCTCTGCCACTAAAATAGGTGAGCTCACGGTAGATAATGAATGGTACACACACCACGCCACAAACACTTTCATGTCAAACAAAGACCTCAGTTTCCTCCTCCATGGATTGAGGGATGGAGATCAGAGGGTGCCCAAGACCCCTTAAGTTCTAAGATTTACTTTGCTGATGCTTTCTGAGGAAGTTAATGAAGGCATATATTTTTCCTTTTCAAGCTCAGGGAAATGTTTAAATCACCATGGTAACGAGATAACTCAGCAATCAGTTTTCTGATTAAACCCAAAAAAGGGCCAATGTGTAAATGGAGAAGGATGCATAATTAGCATCGCCACAATTTAAATCTTCTAAAAGCATGATAGAAAATGTTGGTTGTTTCTACAGTAAATTTGTTATTATCTATGTGAGAGCCCCCCCCTCTGCTGGGGGTGTGCAATCACTGGACAAGCCCCCCCATGGCCCATCCTAATTTCCAAGTGGCCTCTTTGTCTCTGCTCACCTGGAATTCGTGCCAGTTTGATTACCAGACTAGAATCAAGGTAACCAGGAAATAAGAGTGCTGTTTTAAAAAATTACAGAGTGGATTCTAGAGCCAAACAGAAGTGATTTTTGGATTACTTGGCCGCCTGGGGGGCCATTTTCTGTACATTAGTGAGAATAATCAAGAGCTGGCCCAGCGGGACGGACTAGGGCTGGCGGCTGCCGGAGGCCAAACGTGCGCACGGCCCGCCCGCCGCTGGGTCGCTGGCCACCCAGGAAGGGCTTTCACATTTTCGAGTGGTGGCACAAAACCCGAAAGAAGAGTACCAGGACCAGTGAAAAACATATGAACTTCAAATAGTCACATGCATAGGAACACTAGACTGGACAGCTGCCCACATCACCTGCTTCCACGTGTGGTCAACGGCCACCAGCACAGCTGAGTCGTCGGGGCGGAGATGGCCCTCAGAGGCCAAGGTGTTTATTCTCTGGCCCTCGAAGATGTCTGCCAAGCCCACTTGGGGACCATGTCGGCAAACACATCTGCTCACCAGCTGACCAGATGAGGTGGCTGAGAGAATGAGGGGCTCCAATGGGGTGACCTTGAGGGAGCAGAATGCTTCCGAGAAGGGGTGCAAAGATGGCACAGGGGAGCTCTGAGGCTACGCGTCTAGCCACCTTCATGTGGGCGTCTGGATGTAGAGGGCCCAGGACAAGACGAAGCTCATGTCCTTTAAGGATGCTGAGAGCAGAAGTCCTGGGAGGCATTTGGGGAGCGAGACAGGAGCCGCGTCCCCTCATCACGGAGTTGCTCTGACTTTACGGCTACTGCTTTTTGACATGAGCACCAGTGTGACATTTTACTGTAATTTTAGTAGAAACCTCATTAACTGGGAATGTGGAGGACGGGAAAAGGTTTAATTAATCTGCTCATATCATCATACTGTTTTTAAAACACCCCCTAGGCCAACCCCCGGGGCGGCCAGGAGAACTGGCTTACCTGCTGAATTCTGAGTAGGCGGGCGTGAAGGTCACCTATCACACCTAGGCGCTGGCCATTCTGCAGGGCTTGACCGATACTGGCACATTTTGTTTTGACATGAAGTTTGCACTAATCCTGGTAAGGTGGGGCTTTTGGGATTGTTCCCCCTTACATTATTTTTTTTAAACATCTTTGTTTTTCACAATATAGAAATCTCCCGTCAGGTGCACTCACCAGTACCAGTCCTTCTCATCACACTCCACCTACCTCTCCTCCACTCCTCCCCCAGCCCATCTTTGAAAGGGTGATTTACAGTTTTCTCCTGTATTCTTCCCTTCCCTTCCTTCCAGCAGCCAGGCAGGCTCCATGCATTTTAGTCCCCGGGGAGATTTGTGGCAGGGCAGAAATGGAGATCATTCTAGGCAACATTGCTTGGGTTGTGCTTTTTTTTTTTCTTTAAATCTGAGTCCATTAAGGCAATTATGCTTGGCGTCCCTGGTTGGGAGGAGAGAGGGAGAGTGCTTTAGAGATGCAATGAGGCAAGGAAAGATGGCTTTTGGAGCCTTGCAAAGTGGTGAGCCCAGCTGCGGGCTGTACCAGCAGCTTGGGAGAGAAAAGGCTAATGGTGCCCAGCTTTGGAAGAGGCTGGAACCTCTAGTGACCCAGGAGCTGCAAGGCAGTGGACTTGGATGGGCAGCAGGTCTAGGCAGTGCATGTTCTGTTGTCAAATCAGTGCCACTCCGGACCCAGGCCTTTGGCACTGCTCTGGGCAGCATCAGCATCAAGACAGACTTAGTGCAGATTCTGCTTGGCAGCTAAGGGTCAAAAGCAGGTCTCTTGAAGGCAATAAAGGCGTGCCAGGTTTTGTGTTTGTTTTTGGTGCTTTTGATAGATGAGCCCGATGCCTTTGCTTAGATGTTAAAAAAAATAAATAAATAAAGAGGCTTTTATGCTTTTGGAAAGTGGTTAAAAGCACAGAAAAGCGTGCAAGTAGCTTATCTGTTACAAAGGTAAACCAGGCTGTGCCTCAGCCAGGGCTACTACTTGGTGCTGGGCCCTTCACTGCAGGGAAGTGCCCCGGACACATCACTGCCTGGAAGCTACCAGCTCACAACTGTTGGTTTCCAAGTGCTTTGCAGTCCATTATCTTACTTGGTTTGCTCAACTACAACACTACAACACATGTCCGGCATATCCAGAGGGGAAACTGAGGCACAGAAAGGCCTCCCCTCTCTCTTACCAAGGTCATACAGTGCAGGGCCAGAATCTGAGCAGCCTGACTCCCCAGGCTGGGGTGCTATTAGCTGTCGTCTGCCCTGCTGGCCTTCTAGGCTTGCGGCAATTTAATGTGGCAAATGTGATGAAGTGTAGACTGTATATCACGGAGCATATAAACTCAGGAGGGAAATGAAGGTAGTCAAAGCTGAATGCAAAATGGATGGACAGCTCCATTTAAAGGTCTGGCCACAAATCATCAACTTTTAAAAACAAATGGCTGGAGAAATGCAAATCGTGACAAAGACCCCTAATTTACAGGGGGGGGGAGGCGTCCCATGCGACCTAAGAGCTAATGCTGAGAGCCTGTTCTCGGCGGGGTCCGTCATCACCAGTCTATGGCTGCAATTGCTTCATAGCCTAGGCCTCTCCCAGCGTCTGCTGCACTGTCTCTTCCCAGGGGCAGGTCAGGGGAGCTCAGGCCCCAGCCCATCAGGACACAGCAGTGGGGGCAACCCCAGGCCCTGGGAAAAGGGCACTTCCTCTCTTTGGTCTCAATTTCCTCATCTGTAAAGTGCAGGCCAAAGAATTAAATGTTTAAGACCTCAAGATCTTAGACATCTGAAGGCTCATCAAATGAGAAGGAAGTGTGTAGAGGAAGAAGCAAGGGAAAGAGTTGGAAAAAGAAGAAATGAAATAGGAAAAAAAGGACAAAGGAATTGACAAATCTAAGAAAGAACTGGAGGGATGAGGAGAAAGAATGTGGAGAGACTGATAATGAAGACACAAAGAAAGGGAAAAGACAAGTTCTGATAAAAGCAATTCCACCAGCCCATGAATTTTCATGGCTACCAGCTGGCATAAAATCATAAAGACAATTTTCAGCTCCTCTAACGGGATTGCATTTGTAATAATCATAACAATATTTCTACAGAGTAAAAATGACAAAGATAATTTGAAATGGAAAACACTGACAAGATGCAAAATAAATGTGCTATACCTGGCAACAAATTTAGGGACGGGACAGGATTTGCATAAGGAAAATTTATAAGCTGGCGTCCTCCAGGGCATCAACCTGGAAGGGCTTCTGATGATTCCTTGTTAAACTCCTCAGGTAAATCGGGGGCAATGATTCTGTGTTAGCCTCTCAGAGCCGTGAGCGCCTTCGCCACATGGACTCAGTGGTAAAATGTACTCCTTTCGCCTTTCATTATCCACCACACAAATAATAGTTGTGCTAATGTCCAAAAGCCATGTCCAGCCCTAATTTACCCATTTGTAAATGTCCCTGTTGGTCTTCACGAGTGATTACACCCTTTGGTCGCCATCCAGCAGAGTGGAAAATGAGGATGCTCCACTGACAGAAGCTGGCAAATTTGAGCACCTACTAGGAGTGAGATATCACAAAAGACAGCACCAAGGCCTCCCTCTGACTCAGCCTCTGGCCCAATGGGGAGATGAGCGGAATCAGTAGCATTGATGGAGAGGGCCTCCTAGCCCCGGTAAACAAGATAGCTCAGATTTAACTGCAGCCGTCATCTGGGAAGGGTCTCGGGTGGTCTTTGTTCCTGTGCCTCTCGAACCTTCCTGGGAAGTAGGTCCCATTCTAATCTCCTTTTATTGATGAGAAACTGAGAGATCAGAAGGGGGAATTAGCTCACCACATGTCACAGAGCTAATGGGAAGTGGAGCTAGACGCCAAGCCCAGGCAGAAAGCTCAGGGGCGCCTGGCCCCTTACTGACTGCCCGACAAGAGCCCAGGGAAAGCCATGCCAGATGACACCCTGGCTCCACGGTTCCCTTCGGCCCCTCCCTGAGTCCATGAGGCCGCGAATTTTTATTCATGATGAGGACGTTTGGTTGCCTAACTGGGGTAAATGGGGAGATTTCATGCTGGTGCTTAAAGCACATGGAGAATTTTGATAGTGGTATTGCTAATGGGAAAAGACATTTTAGTTCAAAGTTCTGAAACTTCATTAAAAACTTCCATGCTTTGGAAAAACAGGACCACCACTTTGTGGTCTTCACTGGTCGGAGAATCTGTGTACCCCTAGAGAGCTCCTACCCCCAACTCAGGAGTGCCCATCCTGATGGAAAGAATAGCATGGCCATGGTGGTAGGGAGCATGTTGTCTTAATGGTAGGGGGAGGAATCACCACCTCTATATCGCCCTGGCCTTTTACAAATCTTACCTGAGAGAGACTGGAGGTATTGCACCATCCCAGCGATCAAGATGGACAGCAGAAAGGTCCCCAGAAAGTAGACCTGCAACACCGCAAGCACACACAATCAGACTGGTCCAGGTCAGGAGCCAGGCGGGCGGGGTGGGGCGACACTACCTACCAGGGCAGAGTGGAGGAGAGCACCCCAGATGAGCCGCAGATGAAGGAAGAGCCAGGCCAGGGAGCAGGGGCTGAAGGACTCCTCGTGACTGTGGTTCCAGCACCTGCAGACAAGAAGTACAAGCACCTGGCATGTGGGCAGAGCTTGGCGACATTACCCATTACCCTACTCAGCTCCTCAAACCTGCTTGGAGACGTCTGGTTTGCGACAATGGGCACATTTGAGAGGAGAGGTATTTAAGAAACACGGTCGGCTCCCAGGAGGTTGGCCCTGCCCTGTCTTCTGAGATCCTGGCAGGACCCTCAGAAAAAGGTCAGTCCTGCCCCTAAACAAAAGAGTAAGAAGACCCCAAAGCATGGAGCTACCAGCAGCACTTCTAAGTGTCTGTCCAAAGTCCAGACATCAGCCCAGAAAACAGTCTTGTCAGGCACACTATTTTTCCTGTTTGCAGAAATTGGGGTCACCACTTTCTCTTTAGATCAAGCGCTTCCTGCTTCTTAAGCCCCAGATACCAAGACAAAGAAATTGGGGTCCGGTCAGGTGTTGGGGAATGGAAACAAATTCTGCGCCTTTTTTTCTTTGGGCAAGTGACATCAGAGAAGAGAGTAACTGAGAGCTGGCAGCTGGGAGCCCCCAGCCCGGCAGCATGAACAGGCTCTGAACGCACCTTTCGTAGAGCTCCTGCAGGACTGAGACATTATCGGGGTGGGCAGCTGGGTCGATCTCCAGGAAATCCAAAATGTGGGGTGGGATCACAGCACCTTCCTCGATGAGCAGAGCCAGGTTGAAAAAACCCTGCAAACAAGTCGTAGCCCGAAGTCATCAGCAACTGATATAAAACCCAGACACACACCCTTCCTCAGAATGTAAACTTTTACAACCTCGAGATTTTTTTCAGTTCCGAGAGCCAGATGGTTTTGTCATCGTCATTGATGAATGGTTTCCCTAAATATATGCATCTGAGAAATTTATTTGCAGGAGAACCAGGAGGTTTTCAGAGGATGCTGCGTCCCATCTGCTCAGAAGCCAGTCAACCGGGGGCTCTGTCCTTTCCTGCTCACTCCCTCGGACAGAAATCGCTGGGAAACGCGTCCTTGGAGCAGAGACGGAAGCAGCGTGCTGAGGCGGAAGCAATGTTCCTCACTTGCGACTCTGCCCGGGTCCCCGGCAGCGTGTCAGAAGTCTAAGCAAGGGGGTGGTGGTGGGGGGGCTCTGGGTGTGGAGACGCGCAGGAGCGTCCGCTTGGCTGGTACCCCAGGCCAACACGTTATTCTGGGCATGGGAATGCAAACTTTTACATGGGGTATGTCTCCCTACCGCTCCTCACACTTCATTCTGGATCCTCAGGAGCCTCAGAGTAGAGGTGCTGTGGGGTACAGGACAGACACAGGCACCACCAGAAGGCTCTGCTCTGCCCAGCATGGGCTGAGCAAGTGGCCGATCCATGACATCAGTCAAAAAAGACCTGCCCTTAGCATGAAGCTTCACCAGTTAATGGGATCATCGCCTTCCAAGGAATATATAGCCAGGTTCTAGTGACATACTCTCCCAGAGACTTTGCAGTTGTCACTAACAAGCTAAACGAAAACAAGCACCCGCCAGGTGAGATATATGTCTCTACTGTCCAGTGCAATAACCATGCTCAAAATCGCAGCAGCTCACATGTTCCGAGAGCTTGTTGTCCATGGGGCATTGTTTAGTTATATCTATAGTCCCTTAACCCGCCTAATGACGAATTGAGATAGGTGGTATTATCCACTGCGTTTTATAGATGAGGAAACTGAGGATCAGAGAGGTTAAGGAGCTTGACTAATGTCACACAACTGGAATGAGGTAGAACTGGGATTCAAACGCATGGAAAGTTCAGGTTAAGTTTCAGATCTTAACCTTTAAATAAATCGAAGGGAAGTATCTTAAAGATGAATACACCCCCCCCCCATAAAAGCAGAAAACAGAGTATTTCTCCATTCTTTGACAGGGACAGGTACACTTAGAACTTGAGATATTAGAAGAAAATAACTATAGAATGTTAGTCTCTGAATGGTAAAATAACAAGATTAAAATAAATGGAAAAAATAGAGTTGGGGAATATTTATATGCAATATGATAGCTTAAAACTCATTATCTACAGGGCAAATGTATGAAGAACTAATTCAGATTTAAATTAAAGAAACTCAACACTAACAGATAAGTAGGCAAAGAATAAGACTAAGGAACCACATAAAAATACGAAGTGTGAATTATAGACAAGTCCATGTAAAAATGTCCATCCTCACTAATAATGAAATCTATTTTAATAAGTATCATCTTACAATTATTCAATTAGAAAAATTAAGTCATAAAAACATCTAGTACTTAGAGATTTCAGTTATCCTCCCATACTCAGCTATCACTCATGTAGGATTAATTAGAAAGTCCTTCCAGAAAACACATAGGTCATAATATATATATATATTAAAACAAATAATCACCCATAAGCTAACGTTAACTAAATCACCACCATTCATCTGAACTGAGGTGGGGGCAGAGGGTAAAAGTCCTCATTGGGAGCCCAAGAAACAAAGGTACATACTCGAACAGTGTGTGAGAGGCACAGATTTTAAAGTGGCACCTTCACTGTAACTTACCACGAGACTAAGCCCCTTCTGTCAAGTTCACATGACAAAAAGACTCTTGCTCGTGGGTAGGGGGAACATACCACTACAGTCACACTATAGAGCTATGGAAGGATACTAAAATGAGTAGACAAAATCTTGTGTGACAGGTTAGTTGCCTAATTACAAATTGTCTCCCCAAGATCTCTCTGAGGTAGAAAGTAAAAAATGTTTACAAGGGAAAAAAACATCCTAACCAAGTTAGTGGGGTCGACCTCACCAGCAGTGAGAGACTGACAACAGGTCAGTGAGCAGGGACCATGAGCAGGACACACTTCTGGACTACCCTTGCCCAAAGTGCATAATCTCAATGTCTTCATGAGGAGACAGAGACACACCCAAATCAAGGGACATTCTACAAAATTCTTGGGCTGCGGTGAGGGGTTCACTTGTGGTTAGCTGCTTTTGTTTCATTCACTAAACAAACCTGCACTAGAAGAGAGCCAGCTCAAGAGAAATGTTAAAACAGGTTTTTGAGGTAAGATACCCCTGTTCTCTCAGCTCACTGGTTTTCTGACAATAAAGTATGGATGAGAGAATCAATTTCTATCTGTTTAACTGGCACCTGGCAATGACAGGCAGCCCAACCCTGGCATTTTCTAGTTATAGAACCTCAAAGCAGGGTGTACAGCGACTCTCTGCATTCTTCCTAACACTCTGTTAAAAATCAAAAACATTCCAAAGTAAGAAGCTTCAACATAAAAGTCACTGAAAACAAACTCTTGTCACAGAAGTGTTGGCCCAAGTGTTTAAGCAAACCATTTTCCTTTGGAAAACACCTTCCATTTCTTGAGTTTCTACTTGCTGAGTTAGCTTGATGGAATCTAGTGGAAACAACTCCTGGGTAGGTTTGACCTTGAGCAACGTTTTCACCTTGAGGTAGTCTTGATATCCTCCTCTCTCATGTGGGTTTAGCCACCCCAACCCCACAAGAGTGTGGAGAACACTATGGGGGACACAGTGGTCATCACCAGGGCTTGTTGGGATGACCAGAGTCCTCACAGAGTCATTGTGAGGAACATATGTGACCTGGAAAGCCCAGCCAGATGAGGGTGCCGTGCTCCCCTGCGTGTGGGAGCTGCCAGGCACTCCTCTCCTTCGCTCACCTGGGCATCCCCGTCCAGGGCGGCTTGGGCGTACATCTGCACAGACAACTCAAGGTCTTGTGACTGGTTTTCATGGCCATAGTAGTACAGGTCTCCCATTTTCAAATATGCTGCAGGACAAAAAGCAACGGTTCATGGGTCAAGAGTTTTATCTCAAACCAACATTTTAACTGATTGGCCCATCCACAAGACAGTTTTTCCTACCAGACTTTGAGTACTGAAACATCTTTGGGTTCCCTTGGCACATCAGGAGAAAAGGCAGTCTATCATCAACCCCATTTCTCCAACAACCACTGGCTTTTCCGGGTGGCTGCATGGGGCTGTCTGTGAGAACTGCAGTCTGCACCCTCACAGGCCCCCCCCCCCCCCCAAAGGTCGTCTGGGGCGCTCTGTCACATGCCTGCAAAATGCCTGCTGGGTTTGATGACTGACGGGTTTCTTTACTGTTTGAACTCACATATTTCTCCCTCTAAGGAAAAGTCTTTTGCTTAAGAGCATTAGTGTCGCTCAATGGCCAATCCAAAAAACAGAATCCAAGTAAAAGAGTTGAACACTAGGGGATGGTGACCAGGATGTTCGAAGAGCTGAAAAGACTAATGGGGAGCAATGGGCAACCCCGAAAACTAAGGCCATCCTGGGACGAGGCCAGCCGGGACCAAGAGGGTGAACTAGGCAGGAAGTGGAACCATGGAAATCCACACCTACATGGATCACATGCGGCCAGGCTCCATGAGGCAGAGAGCAGAGTTTAGTCATGATCTTAACAGCAGAGATTTTTCACCCTCTTTGCTAATTGTTTAGAAATATCACACTTCACAGAAAGCTGTTAGATGGTCCCTGTTACTAAAGATTAAAAGCTTCCAATACAGCGTTAGCACTGCTTTTCTATACATACCAAATGAAGGTGCATCGATTTGGAAAACAGAGAAATTATAGTATCTCCAAATACAATTAACACCCAAGTATCTCTTGGCCAGGTCCTAAGGGGATGAAAGGGGAGAAAAAGTTAATCCTTCGATATTGCAGCCAAGTGACAAATTTGGCCTCCATAAAAGCCAATTTATTATCTTTAACTTGGAGCTCAAGCGAGGAGACATTCACTTACCGGCCGCTCCTCACAGATGTGTGCTAAATTTGTCTGTGACACTTCAATCCCGGTTTCTGCTGCTAAAACATAATACAGCAAAGCTTCGTGCCTAAAAATAGATGATTAATAATAAATTTCATATAGTGGTTCTTACTAATATTCACAGAAAGCTTTATATTCAAACATAAGAGCGCACAAAATAAGCAGTTTTTTTTAAACGCACAAAATCATGAGTTTGTTTTTTTTTCTTAAATAAATACTGTTGTTAAAAATACTGCAAGCACTGATTTATTTTCTATCTTAAAGGCTGAGTTCGCAGATAAGACTGGGGAGCTAGTTGGTACAACAGCTACCTCTTCTGGCCAAATGCAGTCCAGGTGGGGCCTGTCAGCCTTTGGGACTTGAATTCCTCCATCCTCGCTAAGAGGAGATAAGTGGTATTAAAAAAAAGCCTTGTGCTTTTGAGTCCTTGGGTTTGTGAAAGGCTTTCTGAGGCTTAGGATTCTCAACAAGCTTAATTAAAGCTGAGCTTTTGTGGTGCTTTCGAAGTTTGGCAACAGAGAGGTAATTTACAAGGGGCTTGATACCGATGGCCAAAAAATGCATGAAAAAAAATAAATGTTTGACATGACGAGTAATTGAATAATTACAAACAACAGAGCTTATTCTTAGTCTGTTGGAAGGCTGCACATGATTCATAATTCAGAGTGACAGCCAGGGCTCAGGGAAATGGATCTATTGATCTAGCCTGGCTGATGATACAGCCCAGCATAGGAATGGCCAAACCATCTGATCCAGCTGTCTCCCGGTGTGAGGGCCTGTTTTAAGGAAACAAGCAGAGGCCATGCAAAGACCCTGTGGCAACAAAGCTCATGGCAAGCCTGGTTAGATGGACAGCTGAGGTGAATAGGAAACAACCTAGGAATGAGGGGCTACTTAAAGGAACTCAGAGGCACTGACCTTCAGGCAAGGCCATTGACACCGTTGTGAAGTGGATACAAACTACGCACCCATGTCTGCAAGTCAGTCCATCAGTGGGGGAAAGAGGCCGAGTTTAAGAAGTGCAACTCCATTTTGGTAAAACCAAATCCACACATGCATGTGAGGATACATCAATGCAGAGAAAAACTAAAGCCTAAAGTTATTGTCGATAGTGAGGGGCAAATTGTGTTTCTTTTCCACCTTTTTTCTCTTCATTTTTCTCTGTGACCCAGAGTATGAGCAAGATTTTATACTAACCATAAATAGCTGTTTCTAGAGCTTTTTAAAATTTTAAGTGGTTGACACTAATAAGTCTTAATTTTAGCTTCACCTCGAAGAACTGCTATAAGGAAGGGGAGGGGAGCTGGCATAGGGGTGAGGGGCGGACAGCAGATGCTGATCACCTTTTCCACATCGCTTTTCCTAAAATCATCTTTTCCTACTGCTAACGGCAACTTCTGACAGACCATCCCTTGGGGACAGACAGAGAGGTGACGGGGGTCAAGTCAGGACAGAACATCCATCAGACAAACCACAGTCACGGGTCACTCAGTGGCTGCTGAGAGAGCTCATTCTCGGACGCCGGCTGCCCAAGGCTCCGAGGGGTTGTGACTCCAGCTAAGGGCCATGAGGCAAGCTGCAGGACAACACAAATACGCCAGTGCACCTTCTCACCTAAGCTGCCAAAGCCGCCTGTGGTGAGATTCCTGAGCCCACCCAGGGTGGTGTGCAGGGAGACCCAGCAGACAGGGCCTAGCATTCTGCAACAGGGTTTTCAAGTGCAAAGGTCTGAGGCTCAAGTTTCATCAGACACTTGGGTTGCACCTGTGCCTCAGTTTCCCCCAAGGCTGAATGGGGAAGGAGATGGTGTGGTCTTCCAGGGCAAAGTCAACTATGAGGCTGACTCCCCCTGCCGTCTCAAGTGGATGGAATGTGAAGTTCGTGATCTTGGTATAGAATGAACTGATTTTTCCTTAGCCGGTAGGAGGACAGTGCATTAGAATTTGGTGGTGGGGGTGAAGCGGCAAGGTTGACACTCCCCGTGAGAACAGAGCCCCCGCAGAGCTGAGGTTACCAGAGAGGGAGCAAAGAGTATCCAAGTGTTTTGGAGTGAGGGTGCTGCATGGACTGGGCCGTTGTGATGCTCTGCTGGGGGCAGGGTGGGGTAACATGTGAAGGGGTGTGAGTCTGTACTTGTAAAACATGCAGTGTTATAATCCACTACCCCAGTAAAATAAAATAAAGAAATGAAATAAAAAAGAAAGACTGGCTGGGAAAAACTGGCCTATATTAAAAAACAAAACCAAGCCATCAGTAGGATAAACTTTACAAAGACAATAAAAATTGACTCTTTGAAGTTTACTTGGACGGTGGGTGAGTGAAGGGAGGAACAGGTATTGTACGAAGACTCCCACAGTCCGAGTGCTTCATGGACTTCTCCACTGTTTCCTCAAAGGAAACCAAAAAAGCCACAAAAAAGATGTTGAAAAACACTGATGTCAACAGAGGTACCAGACAGAAACCCACGTCTGCCTTCCACATCACAGGAGCAGCTCCGAAAACCCCATAGCGGAGATCGACTGTGGGCAAGGTTAAATACCAAGCAGAGACTTCCCTGGCTAATTAAGACTTCCAAGACAGGCCATCTCTGCAGAAACCCTATCTCCCAGACCCCTGCTCTTCCTTGTGTCTCAAGAGCAACTGCTTCAAAGGATTAATTACAGATATTTCCATGCTTCTATTCATGGAACAAATATTTATTCAACATTGGTTATAGAGGCAAGAGCAGGCAGCTCAAAGCCAGGCCACACCCTCCTGCCATGGAGCTCTTCAAGGTTTACGAAGCGTTATTTCCACTGCTGTAAAGTAAAACGGCCCCCCAGACGGTCATTCTGACCAGGCCGGGGGCTGGTGCGCACAAAGGGGAGGGGATTGAGGGAACAGAACGAGTTTAGGGGCACATTTGCAATTGCAATCCTCCCACTTCAGACTCAGCACATGTATTTATAGAACTTTTATAATGATACATCTTAATAATCAACCCTTTGGCTGCCTGTTGTGGACTGAATTTGAGGACCTCTGAGAAGTTTCTCAGACAATGATCCTTCCTCTGTGTTTTTTATTGCCAATGACTGAAATAGCTCCTTGGGTTTCAGGGGGAATTGTGGACTTTTACCCTATGGGATAAAGGTGAATCTGTTTCAGCAGGAACTTGGGGTGCCGCCTGTCTTACCTCAAACCCAGCCTTAGCTGATAGCTCCTGGGTTAAGTATCCTGTGTGTACTGAAGACAAAGCACAACAAAACAAACAGCTCGCAGATGAGCACCATGGAGTCATAAGGGGAGCAGAGATGGAACTGGACAGCCGGCTTCTCCTTAGCCGGCTTCTCTTGTCGGCCTCGGACATGACATTGTCTTCTGTGTTATGCCTCCACAGCAAAAAAGCCCTTTCTCAATCATGCAATTCTTTTGAACTATCCCATATAAATCTTGGAACAACCCAGAAAAGCACAAGCTCATCAAACTGACACATGTAATTTGAAAATAACATCCAGAATAAATTCACTCACAGAAAATGAAAATAGGGGATGAACTTGGGACATTGATGGATGATTTAGCCCTATTACTGCAAAACAGACGGTGCCCAAAGAGGCCACACTGTGGTGTGGGGAGGCCCACCCTCAGATCTCCCATGTAAACCCCGGAGCGGGTTTGGAGGACAGGAAGAGACAGGAGCAATTTGCCTCAAATATATGATGATGAAGATTTTTCCAGTTGTAATTGATTTTACATGTTTCTGCCTATTGATAGGACAAGGTCTTGATGCCAGAGTGAGGCTTATTTTTAGCAGTATTTAGCACCAACATCAAAACTGGCCAGGTTACAGAGGAGCAGAGACTAACAACGGCAGGCAGGCGAGCGAGGTGGGAAGATCATTCTGGTAAACAACACGTGACCTTGTAAAGCCACATGTGTCTGCTCCGAGGCCCCACTCCTAAGGTGACAGCCTAAAAAATTGCTGCCCATGTGCTCTGGGATGTTCATAGAAAATGTTCCCAGCCATGTTGGTGTTAAAAACAGAAAATGGAAATAATCCAAATATGAGTTAATGTGAGAATCGGTAAACTGTGGCAGGTGACAGCAGCAATGAGTGACCAATAGGCATCGCATCGAAATACATGAATCTTGGAAACAAAATGTTAAGTTTGAGGAAAAAAGCAGTTGAAGAACAATATATAATAGAATTCTGATTTTGGATCAAACGAAATCCAGCGCATGGAAATTTATCTGCTTAGAGCAAAGGTGTTAAAAAAAAAAAAATGCCAAGAGACAGATCAAGAATAATTAGAATGAGGGTGACTTCTGTTGACAGAAGTGAGGCTGGGTTTAGCCTGGGAGAGAGATGCTTAAGTCGGGTGGATGGGCTAAGTCACACAGAACTTAGAAAGGGAAATCTGTATCACATATGTCTCAACCACAGTCGTGCATCACGTAATGATGCAGATGCAGTCTGAGAAATGCATCTCTACATGGCTTTTTTCTGCATGCACTTTCTAGTATGCACGTAGAAAAAGCTCGATGGTGTCTCCAGAGCTGTATGGAGTAGCTCTTGGGATGATCACCAAATATATGGTCCATCACTGACTGAAATGTTGAGAGGCAAGACTGTTTTTTATGAGAAAAGAGAAAACCAACGCACTGGCTTGTGCCACAGTGTGTGTGTGTGTTAGGGGGTATTTGCAGGAGTGTTCTCTCTTTGGAAAATCCCACATATAAACATTTTGCTACCTGAATGCTTACTTCTCTCTTTAAAGTTGTGGGGAGTTAAGGGTGGGAAGTCCGAAGGACAAGTAGAGCATAAAGTCAAACTTGGGATGATGTGAACTAAAGCTCACTCGGGAAAAAAAAGATTAAAACACCACAAAATAGTAAGGGTGTATCAAAGGGAAAATAACTTCCCTAAAATTTCTTTCTAATTGTGCAAAGTGATGGCAATTGGTGATATTAATATTAATACACTAATATTATTTAATAATGACATCAACTTCCACAGGAGAATACTAAGAAGTGCTTTCATATTTAGGGCTGTTTGCATCAGGCTCACTTTCCCTGCTTCTCTCACTTAAGCCTCTCACTCATGGACATGCTGTCTGTGGAATATGGGAGCACCGAGAGGGAGAAAGTGGGAGAACGTGGTGTTCTTTGGGACTTCTATTTCATTTTTATAATTAATTTCTGATCAGAGTAAAATAGATGATAGGTCTGATCTAATGTTTTTACGGTCCTGGACTGGCACACATGCTGATTTGCATATGTCTTTCAGTTATGACTGAAATACCCAGATCATTTAGGCAATAAACCACAAAAATGTGGTCTAGGAGAAAACTCACATGGGGTGCTGGGACTGATGGAAGAAAACAAAAACAGGAAGAGTTTGGAGAGGTGTACCTTGATGGTGACAGGGAGTAAGAACAGATGTGGGAGGGCATCTGTGAGTCCTAAGGTTTGGGTCTCAGCCCAGGATTACGGGGTGAGATCTGCTAACTCCACCAGAAGCTAGAAAGGGTCCTATTTGGCTGTGTCTACTTGGTTGAGTCTACTGGGACATGGTGGGTAACTGCCAGTCATTTGAGACTGCTCATAGAAGAGACAGTGAAGTATGTAGGAATGTGAGCCCTAAAGGCACAGCTCTCCCTCTTTCCCAGAGATAAGGCAGAAGTCCTGGACATTTTGTGGGCAGAAGGTCAGCTAAGATCCCGTCTCCAGACTCTTGAAACCAAGAGAAACCAGCTTGCAGGGAAGTCAGCGCACTTCCGTGACTCTCAACTTGATGAATGTGGATGTTCTCCCTAGGATGAATTTTGTGTAAAATTAAACATGGAAAGGCTGTGTTTTCCAATCAACAGCCAATCAGTCTACGATATACTGAATAACATTACTGAGAGGCAGTGATTTCTCTGCAAATTGCTTTTTTGGTTGCATTTTAAGATTCCACCTCATGAGGCGGCACTGACAGATTGGAAAGTAAGTGCTGAGGAAGTCTATTCTCACGTGGGGCCCAGCTTACCAGGAGCCCTCCAGGTAGGCGTTGAGGCCTTTGCGGATGACGTGGCCCAAGTAGCCATTTTTCTCAGCTACGTGCTTTGCCCATCTGCAAAGGAAAGGAGAGAAAATATCCAAACTGTGGTAATTAAATAATTGCTTTTTTCTTCATACAATCTAATAAATCCCACTTGGGGGATATTTTGCTTGTTAAAATTTTTATAGAGCAACAAACCAGAACTGAATGTTAAAAAGGTAGTACATTTTGAGAGCTTAACATTTAGTGCCCTGAATGTTTAGAAGCTGTCATTTATGGAAACAAAGACATGTAAGGTAGCTGGAGAAAGATATCCAGCAATATAGAAAAAGATGATCTTTATTGGCGAGAGTTCCGGTACTCTCTCCAATAAAATATGCTTATTGGTTTATCATGTGATTTCTCTATTTTTTTCCTGTCCCCTGATTTGCCTAGAGGGGTTTATTAACAATGAACTGATCTGTTGTAATCTCCAGATTTACAACCCCTAAAAGAGGCAACATAACTACAAGATAGTGAAAATAGGAAATAGAATAAATTCTTTAAAAATATTTGACTTATATAAAGAAAGGGGGGGGAAGGCTGGAAGGACAGATGAGACAAATAGGGAATAAACAGTAAAGCAATAAATTTAAAGCCATGTATGTCCATAATTACATTAAACATAAATGGGCTAGATACACCAGGTAAAGACTAAATTGTCAGACCAAATTAGGGAATATACAAAAACTCAGTTATATGCTACTTATAGGAGACACATTAAAGAACAGTGATTAAAAATAAAGAAGAGAAAACATAAAACTTGAAAATTCTAACTAAAAAACGAAATAGCAGGTGTAACTATACTAACACTTTAAGAACTATTCGAAGAGATAAAGAGGGTATTGTGAAATTATGGAAGGTATCCAAATCTCTATGACCCAATAAAACAGATTCCAAGTACATAATGCAAAATTGACATGACTTAAAGGAAACTTTGAGAAGACCATTATGCATGTACCAGAACTGACCATCCACTAGTCAAAAAAAAAAAATTCAAATCTCAATAGATTGAAGCAACTGGGGATATATTCTCTGATCACAGTGAAATTCACTTTGAAATTAATGACAAAAAATGAGAAAAATCCATGAACCATATGCAAGTACTCTAAATAACAGTGATAAAAGCCTCATGTCTTAGCCAATTTTTATCAAAGCTTGGCCACATTTTATCATTGAGTTCAGGTCAGACTGGATTTGCTCTCAGATTTCACATGAAAAACCAGCCTTTTAGTAAACCAGACTGCTGTGTGCCATGATCTAACGCTGAAGCCTGCAAACTTCATTTTTCTGTCAAGGGCACAACAGTAGACACCTAAGCCCGGTGGACCACACAGGGTGAAGCTGCATATTCTTCTTTGTTACACTATAAATGTAAAAAGCATTCTGAGCTTTGGGGGACACAAAAAACAGCCGGTGGGTCCTCATATTATCTGGACACAGTTCACCGACATCTATAGAACACTTTCAGACACGTGCCTCAAAAATGTGCCTCCTGGTCAAGGCTCTTCAGGAAGCTGCTTCAGGGTATGCTCTGTGAGAACTGGGCATAAACTACAAAAGGGGAAGAACCAGGGTTCAACAGAGAGAACCCTGGGAAATCGAGGGGAAGAGATGACAATGTAGTTAATTTCAGCTCTGTCCCAAACAGTTTCCAAGAGTGACGTCACCAGGCTGATTAAATTAATAGATTGCCTGGTGATGCTGGACACATTCAGAGATTTCTACCACTGAAGGAGAATTTGGAGTTGAGTGCACAGATGATAAAAGTACACAGAGTCAAGCAACTGAATCACCACAAAAATTATTATTCTATTTTTTTAATGATTTATTTGTTTATGCTTTCAGAACTGGGGTACAGGCCAGAAGTGTGGTGGGTGAGAGGATTCACCATAGACAGAGTGGGGAGAGAACAGACTGACAAAGTACACTGCTCAGGGGAGCAGCGGGCAGGTCAGAAGCTGTGCCATGTGGGTCAGCTTTCTGGCTGGAGACTGAACTCGTGTTGCAGTGGCTTCAGAGAGCTTCATAATGGTGCTTTAACCTGTTGCATCACCAGGGAGAGCCCTATTATTCTATTTTTTAAAAAGTCGTGCAGGAACTGGATTAAAAAGATGTGGTACATATATACAATGGAATATTATTTAGCAACCAAAAAAAAAAAAAAAAAAAAAAA